CTATCTATCTATCCATCCATCCATCCATCCATCCATCCATCCATCCATCCATCCATCCATCCATCCATCCATCCATGGACTGCCATGGATCATGGTTTGTGCAGGACCTCACTTATAAGTACAAAGTATAGCTTACATAATTGTTACTCACTAAACTACCCAAACAATATTGATTAGTGGACCACCATTATGACATGGTCTTATTGGTGAATGTTTGTATGTACACTTACACAAATCACACAAACTTGATTTAGCTGGTGTTTGTAAAGAATACAAGCATGCAAAAAATACTGTTAAAAACTGTATTTTTCCAAATCACTGAAAGAGTTGGAAAGTGCAGAGACAAAGGTTAATCTAGGTGATGTGTAAATATGTAGACAATATTAGGATAGAGAGACATTCATGATATAACCTGATTAAATATTTAGTTCAGTTCTAAGCACTTAATACTTAAATATAACATCACTGTAAAAAAATTGAAATTTTATTTTCATCCAATAAAAGATTTGCTATACTTTGTTCATTTGGCTAAACAATATTGAGTAATACTTGTAATACTTCAAATACAATATACAGAATTGTACTGAAATAATGATAATCAAGATATGATTACATTAATTTTATTCTCTGATAGGTAACTCTTATGATAAAAATGATATCAGCGTAGCATGAGACCTGACTGGTATTTGTCCATTATCATGGTTTTCAAAGTTGTTTCAAAACTCTAAACAGGCTTCGTATAAAACTTGCAGGACTTTGAAATGTATTCCTAAGAATTCGTTGAGATTGCTGCAATTTTAGCATGTGAAAGAATTCATGAATGGAAGATCTTTTTTACAAACAGCCAACAAAATTATCCTTGCCAATACTCTTATTCTTTTTGTTTCCCTCTGTTAGTGGGATTTGTTAGTGTACATTCAGAAGAGAAAGAGGGAGGTGGATTTGTACATGTGCATAAAACAGTTTGCACAGTAGCTTTCTTTAACCCGCAAATTTAAATGTGCAGAACTGAACTATATTAAACAGTACATAAATAAGGCTGAAAATAAATAAATCACAAGATACAACTCTATACATCATTCTAAACATTATTGTATTGTCAAACTGAGAAGCTGAAACAGTCAGCCTTCATTTCTGTATTAAATAACTTTGTGACTTCAGCTTTTAGACATTGACCTTGACAGAATAAATGGCATGTATATGTTTAGTTCACTTCTAAAAAAAACATGGGTTAAAAAAAGAGGGGCACCTATAAAATAGTAAGCACAATTAGTTCTTACCTCCAAGTTAGAAATAACGTTGAAAAGATCTGAATAATTACACATAGTTGTGCATAATAATAGAACCCTTTGGGAGATTTACAAGAATAAATTAAGACACAATAATTTATTTCCTTCTGTAATTCTAAGGATGGCAATGAACATACTGTAAATGTTCTCCTAATCTTTTAACAAGACTATTATATCCTTGGAAAATAAAAAACAGCATGTCAATATACAATTATGTTGCAAAATGAACAAGTACGCAATTAGTAGAAGCCTTTTTGTTTCCTCAGTGGGCTTTTTTATGTGTTTGTAAATATGTATCACATACAGAAATATGTGTCATTTTTTTGTACTTCCATCAGATGGCTTTAAAACTGCCTAAGCAACTTACATGCTCTCATTAACTGAAATTCCATTGGCTGGAAGCAATATTTACATTGTTTAAAAAGCCTGGTACTATAAATGTACATTTGGAAGTTCTACTTTATTCAGTGGGGAGTATGGCATGCAGATTTAATTTAGCAAAAGGTGCTCTTCAATCCCTTCTTAGCAATTAGAGGCCTTGCTCTGGTCTGATCTGCAAAACTTGTGACATCACAGCTGAAACAAAGTGTCATTCATTGTGTGTTCCATGAAGATGACATCAGAACTAATCAGTACCTGGTTATCAGATGAAAATTACCAATGGAAGTGAGCAATGCAAGAAAACCCGTGGCTGTACTAGGGCTATGCAAACCCCATAATGGGGTGAGTGAAGCAAACCTCCTTGAAGTGATCCTTCAGAAGTTTTGGCACAGATTTTCTAGGCTTTAAAGACATTCCCAAACTCTGCACATGTGTATATATGCACGGACAACCCAGGGGCCGCTAGTAAAGCAGCTCCTACATAGAAGGATGGCTGACAAAGCAGCCACCTCCAGCTTGAGCCTTCTGGAAGATGTAGTTTCCTCAGTGGCTTGAGGAGGGGGGTGGGATTTCATTTGTGCCAACATACTTTGTGAAGCACCTCTTCACTTTGCACAGCCTAACGTAAGCTTGGAGACCGAAACTTACTTTGAAGAATAACCTGAAAAATGGTTTCCAATTCAAATTGTGATACATGTATTCATATCATCTTTTATCTTGTATCTAAACATGTTGCTGTTTAAACAAGCTAAGGTTATTGGTCATGTTTAATCCTTATTGTACCACAATTAATTTAGGAAACAACTTACATGGTCTATTTAATCTTAACCCTACTAATATCATTTTAAGTGCTCCTTATTATCAGGTTTTCTTAGAAGAAATCTCTGTAACAATAATATACAGTGGGTGCTTAGATCATGCTGGCTGGAGAATTCTGGGAGTTGAAGCCCACACATCTGAAAGTTGCCGAGGCTGAGAAACACTGCCTTAGACCAATGCATTTCTTAAGAACAGTTCTTGTAAAAATGGGTCTATTTGGGCTCTATCAATGTAACTATTTTAATATGTTCTTACTGGTTATATTTACATGTTTGTTTTAACTTTCATTCTTTGAGCACTCAGGTTTAAAATACTTTGCATGTGAATCTGACTCCATTTTCGGAAAACAGCTGCCATTTGGGTATTTTCAGTTTTAACACATGCAGGATTACATACTTGCCACATGTTCTCTCCGAGCTCTTAGATACAGTGACACTTGAAAATTCAAATACAGCCCCAAGTTCAGTACATTCAAAAAAGTATATTCTTCCAGCTTAGGATCCTAGGCCTCTTCCTTCATTCAAAAAAAGGTAGAAAGGAAAATGGTTTTTGGCTGAGTTGAAAGGTCCAGTGCAGACAGCAGAAATCTAAACAGCACCTGTTTGCATGAGACTGACCTGCGGGTATGGAAGAGGACTTACCTTTCTTGAAAGCTATGTACACACTACTACTATTACTACTACTCTTTTTTCAAAACCTATTACATGGCTCAACAGCCATTTTCACAGTCTGTCCTTGTGGAAAAAAAAGCAACAGCGAAATGAAACCTCCTGTTGAACATATTTCATGATACAGAGCAGCAGTGCAGTTCAATAGGATAAACATACTAGGCATTGCCTTTGTTCTTACATTCGTATTTACAGAATAGTAGCATATCTGTAATACATATACAAACTGTACAAAATTAGCATCATCGGTGTACCAAATGCATCCTACTTGGATTTCTAGAGAAAAGTCAGCGGCAGAGGTTTTTACTTTTGAAATGTTACATTAGAGCATACTGTACTGAATTTTTATAAAGAATATCTAAGGTTGAATTCAAAAAATACTTCTTTAAAAGACTGTAGAACAGTGATATAAAAGCATCCACTTGAAAAATAAAAAACACCTTGTGATGCAAATTATTGTTAGACATCATCAGCTGGTAGAGCTGGTATACTTATTTTCGCTCTTGTGAAGTATGCCATCTTCTCCCTTAAAAATAAATACAAGGAGAAACAAAAATGCATTTAAATGTAGAATAACGTATCATAATGGATTCCAATACTAGAAGATAAAAGAATGAAGAACCAAATGATATATTTGCATCAAAGCACTATATAGCAAATCCTTAGGCTTTCAACATACACTGATTAGAAATACAATTTAATTGAGTTCAAGTAGGGCAATGCTCAAATGATACTCCTATAAACATATTTATTTTTGTGATATCCCACTTAATTGGTTTAGGAAGTTATGGGAGACACAATTTGTTCTTCTTCTACCAAGGACTTCCATAATCTCCCTACCTATACAACAACATGGTGCCTAGAAGAATATGAGTGCTGATGACACACCAAGAGTTGAGATTTGTTTTTGGAGATTTAAGTCTGTTTTGTAGGGTGGAAGGATGAAAAGGATGAGAGGCTGGCTATGAGCGTGTTGCACTCCAAGGAAGCGGAGGTGCTCGAGGCAGGAGGCACTTGGTAACCAGGGAGCCAACATGGAGGCTGGTGCAATGAGACTTGTAATCCAGTGGAGTTGGCTTCATTAGTCACCCCATCTGGATCCTGTTAAACACTTGGGCAGCATTTGGAATGTATCGGGGGGTTGGTTCTAATCTGGATCCTTGATATCTTTGGGCTCTGGCTACTGTTGCTGCTGCTACTGAATGCCAGGTCAGCATGTAATACATTTGTCCTCATCCAAGAGAGGAACTCCCCCAATTATACCAACCCCACCTGGGTTTTGAATCTGGCACCAGCTGTGAGGCTGACACACTGGGGGATACATATTAGATCTACTGGGGGTTTTTTGTCTCAGATAGCTGCAATGTGATCTGGTAGTGATGGACGTCATCACCAGTCCTTTGCCATAGTTAGATCACTCTCTGACTGCTTTATGGCTTGCTGGTGCTGCCTGCCTTACAGGGAGGTAGGTTATGGTAAATCAGTTTGCCCCAGGAGACTAATGGACCTGGAAAGGGTCCAAAAGGAGCTTGGGGTTTTTCTTGAGGATCCGGTGGGCAGTTTGACTGAGGTCCTAGGTCTAAATGGGCTTGTGGTAAGACCTTGGATTGGATACATTAGATTGTTCCCATATAGCCTTTTGCTATGTGTCAATCCCACAGCACTCTGTGAGTTTCTGAGGAGCTCTAAGAGGTGAAGCGCCAGAAGAAATGCCTGGAAAAGTGGCATGGGCAGTAACGGGATGCCATAGTATGCCCATGTAACACTGCTGCTCCATGAATTGCAGTGGTTGCCAGTTAGCTTCTGGGTACAATTCAAGATGCTAATTACCATCTATAAATTTGTTCATGGTAGAGGCCTTACTATCTGAGGAACTGCCTGTCTCTGATAGTTTCAGCCTGTTTTGCACAATTGGACAGAGTTGGCATGCTCCTGATCTCAACAATTAAATAATGTCACCTGATGGGACCTTTCAGTGTTGTATGCTGCCCAGAGTCCATATTGTCAGGCAGTTTTATAAATCTGATGGATGGATGGATGGATGGATGGATGGATGGATGGATGGATGGATGGATGGATAATTTTACTACCATGTTTCTCTTTGGCTGAGGGCTTGGCTAAAGGCTAGCTGAGTTCCCAGTAATACATTACTTTACCTATTTGGGCTCTCTATCTGAATCCACCTATTGCAGAGGTTGGCAACTTTCCCAGAATAGAGGGGGACAACTAGAAATAGGTGACATCACAAATAGTAGCTGATTTGATGTCTGGCCCATTCTTCAAAGTTTTTGAGGAAGACAATAGGAATAGGAGGATTGTGGAGGTACATTGCACCTATTTCCATATATAAAATGCCACTAACTTCCCCTACCAAAAGCAGACTGAAATCATGTGCCAAAATTCAGCAGCAGAATGGCTGAATTTTGGATCATTTGGAAGGATTTAGAGTGTTTTAAAAGTGAAAATGGGAGTAGTTTTCCTTGCAGAGGACTCTCACTCACCATTATTTTTGAGGGAAAAAACCAACAAAATCAGGCAGATGAAAATTGGCTAGTTTGCCATTGAATTTTGCAGTACAACCTTGGGTTGCTGGGGGACTGAATGTAGCGCAGGGGGTGGGATGATAAGTCCTAGCCACTTTAGAGCCTGTAAACTCATTTCTTCACTTGACTAAGAGACTCTTTAGTTCTGTGAAATAATTGTTCTAAAGCATTCCTTACAGCTGGGAGAATGTAAACATGTAAAGGAATCCTAATGGGGAAATGAACAGGAAAGAGTGGGGGTAGTGAGTCCAATTCAAATGGTCCTAAGAAATAAGAGAAATGATTATTGTGAATCTGTTGTGCTGGAGGCCTTGATTCATTGCAAACTTAGGGGTCATTCCCTGCTTCCCCTGCTGGTCCAATTGATGTGTCTTCCTCCCATCCTGAAGATGGGGGGGGAAAATATCTTGTTCTGAAAAATGTTGCTCCTACAACATTACTCTTACTGTGACCCAGGGATGAGAATTATGGCTCTGCTGCTGAAGTAGGGAGTAGTGAAAGGAACAGATTATTCAATTACCATTTGCTAATT